GTCTCACCCAACGAGGAGGTGACTACGCATCGAGACCCACCTAAAACTAAAAAGAAAATATTATAATTAATGAATTTAAAATTAATAATTAAGTTCGAAAAACATAAAACATAACTAGACAAATAAATAAAATATAAATTTATGACAAAAGTTAAAAGGATATAAAACATATAAAAAATAAGTTTTATAAAAATAATTTAAAATATAAATTATATATTTATATACACATAAATTACAAGGATCTTTACATTGATCTTTACGAAAGTTTTTTACATTTATCGCAATTCTTCTCGCAATTAATCCCATGTCATCCAACGATGAAACTTAAATCTAACTTAATCTAAACCTTAATATTAAATGTTAAATCTACGATTCATGTACACAATTTTTCGCTCGTAATCAATCCCACGTTGTCCAACGATGAGGCTTAAATCTAACTTAATCTAAATCTTAGTACTAAATCTTAAATCAGTAGGACGATTTATGTGTCCTACTGGCATCATCCATATCAAAGATACGCTCCTATTTAAAACGAAATAAAGAAATAAAAAATTGTTAGATATTCAATCGAATTACAAATGCTTTCAATCATTGCAAAAAAGAAGAAAAAAAGAACAGAAAAACAAAAAAAGCGCAAGAAGAAATGTAAAAACAGAAGAAATGTAACATCAAGAAAGAAAAATGGAAGAAAAATTAAGAAGAAATAAAAAAATTTGAATCATAGGCTTTATCACGACTTATGTCAATGGATTTACGAGAATCATCAGACAGATGATATATTCACTGATCTATGATGATTCTGCAGAAAAACGACTTACGTTTTGACGACACAAAAACGAACAAAGAATAAATCTGCGACTATCAGAGCCGATTTACGAGAACAACATTCCACTACAAGACCTCATTCTTATTGTATATCAAAAAATCACAAAATCTAGCCATAAAAAAAAGAAAAAATCGAAAGAAGAATAAGACCAATTTGATTTTATTCGAGAAGAGAAGAAATGAATATATTGAAAATATTCTAATTTATCCTATGTTAGGAGCGTATGTTCATATGGAATATGCTCATAATAAACTTAATTTAAATATCTATCTTACATTATATTTAAAATTAAAATTTAAATCTAACTTTAAGCTAAAACATATATATATCTCATGATGCCCCGTGAGCTTGAAAAATGAAGTAAATCTAAAAAAAATCTGAAATATATAAAAAAAAAAATCAATTAAATGAAACATAAATTAATTAAAAATCTGAAACATAAAAAAAGTAAAAATTTAATTTTGATATTTCACATAGGAATTTCGAATATTTGTACAACTAGTATAAAAATAAACAATTAAAAAATAAAAAATACTGGATATATAGACAAATTTAATTAAATTTTAACATAGAAAAAAATTTAATTTTAATTTTGATAACGAATAATTATTATAATTCAAAGAAATGAATTAATATTATAATATTATATATTATAATATTTATATTAATATATCATAGTAAAAATATTAAATAAATTAATATTTTTACTATAATCATAATTTTAAATAATATTACAAAAATTAAAAAAATTCATACGAATAAATTTTTTAGCAATATTTTTAAACAAATGCTTCAATATTTAGGGAAAAAAGATAAAAAAAAAATATATAAAAGTAGCCGAAAGAGGCTATAAAGATTTGGTGATCCAAAAAAAGGATCGTATTTTTGCAGTTCTTGTAACTGTACTTTGTGATCCAGAAATAGGACCATTTCCACATTTTATTAGTGGAAGAATTATGGGCATTTTACATACGCAACACAATTTTCAAAAACGCGAAAATTTTTTAACGCAACACTACTTTTAAAAACACGATCATTTTTTAACGCAACGCTACTTTCAAAAACGCGATCATTTTTTAACGCAACGCTACTAACTTTAAAAAGTATATAATAGATTTAATATAGAAAATATTAATAAGAAATAATAGAAATAAGAAGAATACAAATATAATAGAATATAAATTAATAAGAATATAAATTGAAAACTAATATCACTATAATTAAAACTCGAAATAAAGAAAACATATTTTTAATACCAATTTTTACTACTAATTAATACCAATTTTTAATATTAATTTAAAAAAAAATTACATTTTATTTATATCAAGATTATTTAAAAAAATCGCGATATCTTTTAAAACGCAACACTAAAGCAAACGCGATTATTATTTATTCGCAACTCTAATGCAAACCGTAATTTATTTATCGCAACACTAATTAAAAAATCGCGAGTGCCCATTTGTCCATGATGATTGTACGTTGGGCCGGAATG